TCTGACTTTGTATTACTGCAAACACTGTTGGACTTCCTTTTAGCAAAACCTTTGTGATCTCCTTTATTATTTCCTTGGGAAGGATAAATTCCTAGCAAAACCACCTTTCTTGATTTTCAGCTCAGCACTCTTTCAACGATGCCATGCTGTGTACGTCTTGAGGATGGTGCTGACTAGCAAATCCTGTCATTACGAGAAGGCAGACAATAAGAAAGCAGATCGGGAGAAACAGCACTCTGGAAAGAGCCCTGTCTCTGTGACTCCCAAGTAAATGAAAAGATAGAGAAGGCTGTCGTTATTTCTGATCCTTTAAAACTTTTGCTGCTCTTCTTTTCCTGGCTAACATCGTGTGTGCTTGTCTTTACCTTGGAATTTACAGCCTTCTTGACAACTGCCCTCCACCCCCATCTACTGTCCACAGGAACTTGAAGTGTTCATTAAGACACCATCCCTAAGATAAATCCACAAATTAGCAAATAAGTGGCTAATATCATGGGCTCTGGTTGGCAAAGAGGCAACTTTGTCATGACGTTAGGTCAGAGACAGGTCAGCAGCTCCTTCCTGGAATGATATTTACCTGTGAATAGTTCTGTTGATATAATCACCTCAGCAAGTCTTTCATTTGCATGAGTAAAAAAATCCACCCAAGGAGGCAGCCAGAGATTTTCCTAAAATCTTCCTTCTAAACCCAGCTTAAATTTCATCTCTCTCAGGAAGTTCTCATTGCTTGAATTCCTCCAGCTTCTCTGGCCTGATCTATACCAATTTGCACCATTAGGAGTATAAGAACTAGGATTTGTCTTTTATATCTGATTCAGCAAATATGAATGGAGTGCCCATACATGCCAAGCACTGTGTGAAACATAAGGAAAAGAAGAAGAAAACAAAATATTTCCATGCCCCACGATCTTCAGTAAAGGCGTGCAGCTTCTGCAGAACTCATGTAACTTCTTAAAATGAAAAGCCCTACTGGTTCACTGTTTACAGGGCATTCTCCTATGACCTCTTTTAATCTGACTGTAAGCTATTCTTTCATTTCCTATCTGTGCTTTTTATGCTTCTTGTTGAAATTAGAAATACCATATGTATATAATGGAAAACACCCAAGTGCAAATAGAAGAGACCGTATGAAAATGAGTTAACCATAGGGTCCTATATCTAGAGAAACTTAAGATATTTGAAACAAGAGAATGTTTGCTTTAATTCAGAAGGGAAAATAGAAGTAGCCCACACACAGTTACTGCAATTGTTCTCCATCAACGTATATTGTTTTAAAATCTTCTGTTTACGTGTGTGTGTGTGTGTGTGTGTGTGTGTGTGTGTGAGCTTTTGGAAAGGAAGGAGGACCCTGCTTATTAATTCTTTAATTCTGAGCACCTGGCACAGGGCAGGTTTTCATTTCATGTTTGTCAAAGTATATCTTTATTGGCCTTTAGGATGCAATAAATTATATAACACACCGTTGATTTAATAACAGCTTTACGTGGGAGGGAAAAAAAAAGAGGCACCACATCTGTATACAACATTTGTAAACAGCTATTATAAAACACATCCTGATTTCAAGAAAGCCAAAGTTTAAAAAGTATGCCTCAGAATGGAGGAAATCCTTTAATTGTCCTTTACTGGACTTCTGGTCTCAAAAACAGTAAACTTGCCTCCATTATGTCAGCGAACAAAAATTCTTCTTTTTTTTCTTTTGGACAAAAATTCTTTAGTGCTGGTTGTGTTGACTCAAACCATCCTACCCTTCCTTCAGTGAGCTTTTTGAGACCACTGATAACTTCCAAACATTTGTCTGTTATTGTTTTCCTGGATTTCCATTTCCTTGTATTAAACACCTCTGTTTGAAATTCTCCAAGCCTTCTATTGTCTCAAGGGCCCTTCCTCCAGGGCTCCTTTCTCTTACTGTAGCTCTCATTCATCTTGTCCCCAATGTGGGCACCCCCCAAGGCTCAGTCCCCTTCTTTCTTCACTAGCGGTTCTCAGCCCAGGCTGCACATTGCAATCACTCAGAGAGACCTTTTAAAATATCCACCCCCAGATCCCAACCCAGATCAATGGGATCAGTCAATTTGGCTGAAATATTTAGCACTGTGACCCTTGGTCATGGAACTTAACCTCTGAAATTCAATTTCTTCACTTGTACAATTAAGATGATGTTAAAATCTGCTTCATCAGAATGCTGAATACATTCTTATTCCCCATGATGACTGCAAATACCGTGTCCTCTTCTTTTTTTTTTTCCATTTATTTAAAGCCTGCATTTCCTTGAAAACTCAAATCCTTCCTCCTCCCCCATAGCCTCCATAATCACAATTTATTTTGGTTTGTTTGCAAGTTATACTGAAAACCCAAGATGGGCCTATGAAATAGTCTCCTTGCTGATCTTCCTACAAGTTTCAATTCTTTCTCTACATAGCCGTCCAACATTCCAGAGTAATCTTAAAAATTAGATCATGTTGCTTTCTACTTTAAATCACCCAATGAATTCTCTTTGTTCTTAAGTTACAATCCAAATTCCCTAACCTAGCTATGAGGTTCTATGAAATCTGACACTCATCTTGCTTCCCTCCCACTGATCCCCATAGTCTAGCCCCCCTGGTTCTAATCTGATATTCTCTTTCCCACCTTGGAGATTTGCTCATGCTGTTCACTCTGCCAGGAATGATCTTATGCTCATCTTTCCGAAGTCACCTTAATAATTACCTACTTGGTGGGGCGCCTGGGTGGCTCAGTCGGCTGAGCGTCCGACTTCAGCTCAGGTCACGATCTCGCGGTCTGTGAGTTCGAGCCCCGCGTCGGGCTCTGGGCTGATGGCTCAGAGCCTGGAGCCTGCTTCCGATTCTGTGTCTCCCTCTCTCTCCGCCCCTCCCCCGTTCATGCTCTGTCTCTCTCTGTCTCAAAAATAAATAAACTTAAACAAAATTAAAAAAAAAAAATAATTACCTACTTGGTGAACACTTCTCTGACCCTCAGGCCCAGTAGTGTCTCTAGAAAAATCAAGTCTTTATATCCCATTAATATCCTTTGTAATGAAATATTTTATCATGAGCTGGATGGAATAGAGCAGGTTATTAACTTTTTCTTAATAAACCTCTATATTGATTGATTTGTTGCCACAAAGATGAATTATATTTGTAATGTTTAAAAGTTACTAAACAGCATGAGAGGGGTGCCTGGGTGGCTCAGTTGGTTGAACATCTGACTTTTGATTTTGGCTCAGGTCATGTTCTCATGGTTTGTGGGATTGAGCCCCCATAGGGCTCTGTGCTGACAGCATGGAGCCTACTTGGGATTCTCTCTTTCCCTCTCTCTCTGCCCCTCCCTGCTCTGTCTCTTTCTCTGTCAAATAAAAATAAACTTTAAAAACTTTTAAACTTTTCTAGTTATCATTTTGTAATTATTATTGTCTTCATTACACAGTCAGTATTTAACATATGCAGATTGGTTTTGTGATTTATACAAATATATATATACATAATCTCCAATTTCCCAATTGAATCCACAATTTCTTAAGTATAGTCTTTTCTTATAAATGTTTGCATGTCATGACCTGGCATAATCCGTATCATATTCCCTAAAAATGAACATAGCCAACATTCTTTCATCCAAGAAAGTAGTCAAAGCTTCAATATTTCTCAGATATTTTATTTCTTTTCTTTTCTTTTTTTTTTTTATTATTTTAAAAGGAGAGAGAGAGAGTGCACAAGCAAAGAAGAGGGGTAGAGAGAGAGAGGGAGAGAGAGAATCTTAAGCTAAATCCATGCTGAGCGTGGAGCCCAGCGTGGGTTTCGATCCCATGACCTGAGCCAAAATCAAGAGTCTAATGCTCAACCAACTAAGCCACCCAGGTGTCCCTCTCAGATACTTTCTAACAAGTTTTCTATGTTTAAATGAATACAGCAGATTTTCATACTTCTATCACCAAAGTTTGTTGAAGTTTCTTTGATTTTCAGTGGACTCTAATGAGGTTTTTGGCTTAGAAATACTTGATAGAGCATTTGTAGATAGATGCCTGCAATGTTATCTGATCAAGTGAGGTGGATATTTTAATGAGAACGTGTGCTTTGCAAGAAATAAATTGTAACTATTTCTCTATGGATTTAAACATAGGCTTTGCTTTGTAAGTTACAGGAATTGCCCAATGAGATCTTTTGTTGTCTTGGATTGTGTTGTAGTGACTAGTAGGTTTTTGACATGGGGTTTGAGGGCTTTTCTCTTTTCGGTAATTTATGTTGTTGTGGTAGAGCAAAAAGAGACTGGAACTCATTAATTTTGCACATGATAATAGCTATATCCTTCAACAAGTAAAAATGAGTGAAACAGGCTCCAGAAACTCTCACCTCCAAAAATCTAAGGATAACAAAGACATGTTGAATCTGCAGTCTTATAAAAGCAATGCTGATTGATCCCTTCCCTCTTAGGAAGCTGAATTATATGTGACAAACCTACGTTTTGCTCTTTTCCTGTAATTTAACATACCTTGAGGTGGACATGTTTAATTTAGGTTGCCTTATGATAGCATGAATTCAAGTGGATGTGTGACTTCAGTAGAATTACATTTATTAACCAAGGTTACCCATGATGATGGTTTCTAGGCCAACAGCATGAAATGAGGGTTTTTTTTTTTTTAAACCAAAAAGATTATATTGTTGCTATTTCACAGAAAGCATTATTTATATAGTTAAATCTACCTTATCCACTTGCTACTCATAATAGCTGCAGGCTGGTTCTCTTTTTCTCCACTATATTCTAACAGTTGCGTACTCTGTGCCTGTTCTGCCCCTCTTTCCTGCCCTTAATTAAACTTAATAGACCATGAAAATTGTGTTTTTATTAGGAATAAAAATTCATAGCTTTACAAAGAAATGTACCTGAAATAAAAAGAAATAAAGCGTTAATATACTTAAAGAAAAATTAACCCTGTTACTAGTTTAGGAAGGAAACACATCAATTAATTGGCTAATTAATTAATTTAAAATGTAGTAGCATGTGCTTACCATGGATTTTGGTATCTGTGTCCTATTTTATCAATAGTGGCTTGACTTTGTTCTCCATACTGCAAAAGAAAGAAAACTAATGTAACCTAATTCTAGGGCAAATTGATACCAACATGTCTAACAGTTTATACTCCTAGTCAAAAAGGGAGTCAGTCTGGGAAGTTAAATATCAATGGTAAATACAATTAAAAGAACATAGCCTTTGATTCTTGAGTGGAGTAAAAAAATACAAGAAGTAAAATAAATATGATCCTGTGTGCTTACTTTCCCCGTCTGTAAAACGACAGATATTAGCAGCAGGAAGAGTATAGTCCATAGTCTCTAAGCTCCTTTCTGTTTTTATGATTCTCTCTCTAAATACGCAGGTATTTTAAACCACTTTTCAGACTCAAACAGTCTAGCTCTTTTCACTTCACCTTATCTTCACAGAATTAGCAAGTGTGTTGGCAATAATGTAGGAAAGAGCTGGGTTATATACAGCCTGTGGTAAAGTGCAGATCTGAAAACTCCTTTCAGAAAGCGTAAGTTAGAATGTGGATAAAATATTTGTATCTTAGAACCAGTTCCCACATAAAAAAAATAATCCAATAATCCCCACACTCTCTCATGAACATTGAAATGATCTGTTATCGCTGAATAAATGACCTCTCTATATGGGCTACTTTACCCCAGTAACTAACCAATGGATGGCACATCTTTTTTTTTTTTTTTTTTTTTTTTTTTTTTTTTTTTTTTTTTAATTTTTTTTTTCAACGTTTTTTGTTTATTTTTGGGACAGAGAGAGACAGAGCATGAAGGGGGAGGGGCAGAGAGAGAGGGAGACACAGAATCGGAAACAGGCTCCAGGCTCTGAGCCATCAGCCCAAAGCCTGACGCGGGGCTCGAACTCACGGACCGCGAGATCGTGACCTGGCTGAAGTCGGACGCTTAACCGACTGCGCCACCCAGGCGCCCCTGGATGGCACATCTTATGAATAAGCATGGGGAACAGGTGACAAATTTTTATTGAAAAGCGTTTGGTTTATAATCATTGCTGAGTTTTCCATACTAGGGTTGGGAAACCATGATATGGATTATAAAAAGTATTTCACTTCAGTTTTGGAATGCAGTTTTCACTTACGTTGATATGGGAGGCTACATTCATAACATCTCAAAAAGTAGCAAAATTATAATTCCAACATCAGAGGAATTACTTAGTCCTTTTTCTTTTCTTCCCCTTTTCTTTTTTTTCCTTCAAGCTTACTTTAGGACATTCCTGATCAAGTCCTTCAGAGTTATTTGTGTTGACAAAGCAGATCTATTTATTTAAGTCATCTTCTCAGGGATGAAGATGAAATGTTGTCCCTTCTAGCTCTTTAATATTCATGTATAAAATATATAAACAAAGGAAGGGACAAGAAAAAGAAGGTTTAAAGATTTTTAAAAATATTTGTTAATTTTTGAGAGAGAAAGAGTACAAGGTGGGGAGGGGCAGAGAGAGAGGGAGACACAGAATCTGAAGCAGGCTCCAGGCTCTGAGCTGTCAGCACAGAGCCAGACACCGGGCTCAAACTCACGAACCTGAGCCAAAGTCAGGACTTAACCAACTGAGCCAGCCAGGTGTCCCAAGAAAAACAAGATTTAAATGCAAGGTTATCTCATTACTCCATAGAAAATATGAAAAGTGGCAATCTGTATACAGTGGTAAGATCATGGTATAACTTTGTTTTTCAGTTGATTCCTGACATGTGATGCCCTAAAAATTGACCTTATCAATTAACTTATAAATAACTTTATTATCAGCATTTTGACAAAATTTCCAGGAATTGGACAATCATCTTTGATCTTTGTTCTCATTTTTAGTAATCAAAAATTGCATCATCTTAATCTAGACAGACTTTTATTAGAAACAGGCAATAGGGGCACCTGGCTGGCTCAGTTGGTAGAGCATGTGACTCTTGATCTCAGGGTTTTATGTTTGAGCCCCACATTGGGTGTGGAGCTTACTCAAAATTAAAAGAAAGGAAGGAAGGGAGGGAGGGAGAAAGAAAGGAAGAAAGAGAGAAGCAACAGATTCTTTTGCCACCCTTTTCTCTTATAGCTATTAGTGTACATATAATGTCATAAAATATTCACCTAAAATAAACTGATGCTTCTCATCTTAATTTATTAATGAAATCCATCACAATGTATTTGGACAGTCATGCTGCATGTGGTGTTAAATCTATTGAAATGCAGAATCAAAAAGATGGGTTTTTTTTTTTTGTTTTACAGGTGAATTCATGAAAGACTGATTCAAAAACTAATTCAGCATCTCCATAGAAACAGGTAACAACTGATTAGTACAGTCTCTCTC